ATGGTAGCATGCTGAGATGTCCACAATAGTGGCTATCGCACAGCGGAAGAAGAAATATGGAATCCCATTTAAAAAAATAAGGATGGCCCTGAAATCTCCTCTACGCCTTCGCCCACATAAAAAACATTTACATCACATTATGTCCCCCTCCGTATTATGCAAGTTTTGTATACAACACTTTTCCATATTATTACAAATAACGGAAATATTCCACGGGTAGATAAAATTTTCGGCCCACCCTGTATGTACATTATTTTATTTTGCTAAAAATATTTCTTTGAGAATAACTGTAATATCAATCATCCTATCTACAAATTTAAATACGACTAGTCGCAAAAAGAAGAAAATTAATTATTCTTCTGCTACCGTTCGTTGAAGGTATTACAGTCAGCGTATTGCTAATTATAATTTAGGCTACTAATTCCTTATCGAGAAAAAACAAAAGTTAAAGGGAAAACTATCACATTAAAATTGTAATTTTTGCATTTCTTAAACAATTGTAATAGCTGTAAATAAATATGCATACCCATATACTTGACGTGAAAAAGGATGTAATTATAACACGAAGCGGTAAGATAATAATTTTCGCGATAAAATACACCTACACAGTGAGAACATACTACAGCGCGCGCAATACGTATGTATACGAAACGATATCAGAAACGACATTTACTTGTGAACACTTCAAAATCATTATCTTTTACAAAGTTATATACGCATTTGTTAGATATAAAATTACATCGTTTCGGCACGAGTGTATATGCATTTCATTCAGTAACACGAATCAAAACTTGCGTCACCTATTACACCAACAATTATACCAACCTGATGAAAATAACTGAAGAAATGATAATAAACATATTAAACATTTCATGCGGGCAATCAACCGTTTAATGTATTTTAATTTTTCCACTGCTTTCAATAGAAGCACACAACTAACCCGTATAAACAATGTCTGAACAAATAAGAAATTACTACTGCATTTCCCGTACTCTGTCGACAAAACGTCACTTTAATTATTATCTTGAACAAAATCTGAACAAACTCTAATCACGTTAACATAATTAATGTCTGTTACGAGACAAGAATAACACACACCGGCATACCATGCGATGTATTTGTCCGTGTAATTGGCGAGGTTAGGACAACAATCGCTCGAACCGTGTACGTTACACTTTCCGTAAGCGCGTGATTAACGATTTACCGCAACAACACAAATATTTCTCGCGTACAGCAAAAAAAAAAAAAAATTGGATATATTAAAAGCAGTATAAAAATTTCAAGACGTAACCGATAGTGTATCGTGTAACTGGCGAGTAAAATTTTTCGTACAATACTACGATTATCGTACGGGATTGATCGCGCTTCATTTCGCAAGATAAGTGGCACGAAAGGAACGGTTTCAAATGCTGTTCGAAACGCAAGCAATTGCAAAAAAAAATTAGCATAGGTTAGAACGCGTTCGCTAAAAGTACAACGTCAATTTTCATTCTTCCTAAAACGATTTTCACGGCTAGATCTTTCGTTGTACGAGAGAAGCAAATTTCGCGTGAAAGGCCGAAAATATGGAATACTTTGGTACAGAGGAAAATAAAAAGTGTAATGAAAGAAGTGGCGTCAATGATCTCACCTGTTGGTACGTTGCTCATTTTGTAGAATCACAAGGTGCCAACGTCGATGCTCCTTTTTGTTTGCACACTAATCCAAAATTCGTAGATTATTGACACGTTACTGAACTTATTATTGAACTTTCGAAACAGATGCCGTGACGTGTTCGTTGCAACCGAGCCGAGATCGATTCCTACCAAATCGCTTCTGAGGAATGGAGCAGCGGCCATATTGCAAACAGCGATGAAGGCGTCATCACGCAACTATGATGGAACTAATGTGCGCGTAAAATTCCGTTTGAATTTATGGCGGCAGTTCGTTTTTTTTTCCGATCTTAAATTACGTTCGTTCGACTTTATAAAAAAAATGGCAAAACGTTGTACGAATAACATAACGGTACAATTACTCAAAATTTATGAAATATTCTGAGCAAAACGATGTATGAATTATATTAATCGTGTACACTGTATAATAGGTTAGGTTAAGGGATATTTTCATCGTTGAAAAAAAAGTAAAGTCTTCATTACAACATTTATTTCTAACACCTATTTATCTCTGTACATATACATATATTCGTCTATGCAATGTAAGTACAATATTGTTCTAAAATACAAGAGCTGGATGGTGTAACACATCTAAACGTTATCGGCGTTTCACAAGGAATACAATTTATTATTCCTCTTCTTAGTGTTTAATGACAATTTGTGTTCTTAATGAGTGAATCTGAACGATTGTCAGAAACGTCGTACAAAAGCGTTAGAGATGTTCTTTATAGCGCAGAGGTCAATTCCAGCATCTGTACAATCTATACGAAATATCTTCTCCATTTTGCGGTAACATTATCGAATATATTAATTCACGTTTATGTGCTATGATGTTGTGTAGAGACTCTATATTGTTCGTGTTTTATCAATTGCGCATTCTCCTTCTGCCTATATACGGGATGAAAGTTGAACAATTGACCTCCAGTAGAAATTAATCCTGTGCATTTTAAAATAACTAAATAACGAAGTATTGTTTCCCTCTTCAACAACTATTCCGTGTGCCGTTTTTCTTTTCGCAAGGTGGAATTGCAATTTTCTTCATTTCTCTGGTAAAAAAAGGAACGATCAAACCTGGAAAATAAAACTGCCAAGCAACGTAATGAAATTAGTACCATTTTGTTTTTACAAGGTGGAATTGCAATTTTCTCAATTTTTCTATTAAAAAGAAGAACGATCAAACCTGGATAATAAACTTGAAAAACAACGTAAATAAATTGGCACCATTTTTTTTTCAGAAAGTGTAACTGCAATTATCTCGATTTTCCTAGTAAACAAGAGAACGTAAAGAAATGAACGATTAACTTTAACAGTGCTTGGAATACATACACATATTTCAAATATACATGTACACCTAACCAATTGGTATCACTTATGCTGAATCCCCTACGAGGCAAGACACACTTAGATGATCACATACGATAAATTCTAAGATCTGACGACTTTCAGTTTCTCAGAAGCGACAAACGTACTGTAACTTTTACTGGCCTAAATGTCCACATATCATAGTTTCGCTTAGACGAACCGTTAATCAACTATGATTACTAATATAGCCGGACGACACTTACTCGTTAACAATAAGCCCAACTAAACTCTATGTTTTCGGGTGAAGCCGGCACGGAATACCTCTGAATAATTATGATTACATGTTATACGTCGAAGGAGCAACTAGCACTGCTGTTTCTTTTCTATATTGGCACCATTGAGTATCAAATATCCTGATCTATATTATCTCTATACTTCGATTGAGCTATCTACGTCGCGCTATTCAGAAACAAACGAAAACAGAAAAATCAAACAATCTTCGAACAGAGTGAGAACAGTCTGGACCTAAAATCGGCGAAAACTACAAACAACACCAAAATGATCCGACGGAAAACATCAACGGTTACTATTTTATTGCTCGTTCGATGCATGGTTGCGAAGCTTTCTCGAAGACTTGAGCTAACTATATTGAGCTAACTTACTCTCCACGCTAAACTCTTCTCTCCCACCGTGCATAAAATCCTCCTGAATCATTTAATACTTTAGGTACAAGTGTATAGCACAGACTCTGTCTGTACAGAAACCTACTGGTCAAGTACAACGTATCCGTGAAAGGAGCAGGATGTTCGGCATCGGCCTAATTTTCTCCTCCCTTTCTATATCCCCCGTATCACTTTTCTTTCCTTCGTTATAAAAATAGTGTTACAAGAAACTTCGTAGCTAATCGTAAAGACGAGAACGTGCGTGAAAAAGATACGATCGCTTCTCGTTCCTCCCCAATCTCTCTCCTGCAAGGGAATCAAACAAAGATGGCCTGTGCATGTATATGTATGTATGTACGTGTACGTTTCCGCCTCTTTTCTTTCTGTATTATAAAAATTTCGCGGCGATCCTTCTACACGCTACGGTATATACAACAAATCTCTCTCTCGTCTAACTCGTCGACGATTTTCACCCTTTCGCACCGCAGATCGACGTTATCTCTCCTTCTCACGCCGTTTTCATCTCTGAAGAAAGTGTTTATCGATCTATAAAGTGTTTTTAGTTTTGCAAATCTACGAAGACTCAGCTGCGCTATAATCGTGTGTCTAAACGTAGTTTCAGTTGCAAAATACGAGATTGATCCTCGTTTAATCGTTTCCCCGTTCGATCGTTTCGATCGATGGATCTCTGGAGCATGTGTGAATTATCACCAAAGGAAAATTACGCACGTACGACCTGCATACGGAATTCTTCTAATAAGAGGCGCAAGCTTTTGCTCTCGTTCGGTCCGATTTCGGACGCGCTTCCTTCTCCTTTTGCTTTCGCCGCGTCGTTTGCGGACATTTGCAACACCCGAGCAGCACTATCGAAGAGAAACGTTTGTGTGTTGTGGTGTAAAGCTGCGAGTTGTAGAAAAGTTCCGCTCCTCGCGGAAGCATCTACGTTTGTCCTGGAGCCCCGTGCAGTGTTTGCCTCGCTAGTCGATCCTCTCTGTATGCGTGTGATATAGCTGGTGTCGAGTTAAGAGAACACAATGGTACTTGTATCGTATGTCGCGAGAAGAAAAGCTTCTCGAGTTGTTTCTCTGAGAAGGTGTATTTTCGTCAGGCTCGAGGAAATGATGTACTTTCGTCAGGATCGAGGAGAAAAGATTTTCACTAACGTCTGAGCGTCGCGATTACACCTTCTCTGTGTTTCAGCTGTCGTTGATTACAGTTGCCACAAAACGGGAAGAAGATAACAGAAAAAGACCAAGGATGAAGAATTAAAGGGCAACCAGCTTAATTCTCTGCGCGGTGTTATTCTACGAGCACTCCTTGCCAGAACATGCTGTCACACGTTTCGTTTTCTTGCTGGCTGATTATTCCGGTCGGAGAAGCATTTCTCAGGTTTATTAAAATATGTCCTCCGTATTGCCGTAATTACGTTCCCAGTATCCCCCACGATAAAGCCAGTCCGCATGACCCGTGTGCGGATTCTCGCCTAATTGGAACCACCTGTGGTGCATAGAAAATTTGCATACCGGATAAGCGACGTTGTTTGGTTTCTTCGAGAAGGATTATAAATATTGGATATAAAGTGGATGGGGAGATATTGTGAAAGAATGTTGCTCGAAATGCGTGTATTATTTAACGAGGGAATACTGTTACGCGAATATCGATCGAGCGCAATTGGAAGTGCTTCGTGAATGTTGAAACGAGATGTCGAATGTACGTAGGAAAAAAGAGAAATTCAGAGTTTAATTGGATTATGCAGATGAGATGTTACATTTTATATTCGATACGCTGTAACGAGCATTTAAAATACTTCCCGGTGACATTAGTTAACCTTGTATGAGATGGCTTGTAAACTAATTTTAAAGCACATTTCAAACAAGAAGTGAGGCTTGTAAAGTTCAGCTGGTGCTAGCTTAAGGGGGATAATCATACATGAGAATACTCTCAGTTGTGCGAAAGATATCAGTTTTTTATGAATATCAGAGTTGTGTAAATATTTGTCATAATTTTCATTTTTCGAAAGACTTCGAATATCGCCTAAAATTTTAAGTTTAATTATTTACACAAGTGCTGATATTATATTTCAAATATACTGAAATAAACGGAGAACGAATAAATGGAAGTTCGTGTTTCCAGAAAAATTACCGAATATAAAATTGATCAAATTAATCACTGAAATTAAACGTATTTTAACCCCTTGCCACATAATAACGAGTCAGACTCGTGTCGCAGATTTTGGTCAAGATCTGATAGAAACAGTTATATCAGTAAGAAAAATTCATTTTAATTCCAATTTACAAAATCGAAGATTGGCAAATTTAATTAATCTCTACTACACCAGCTTCTCTTACTTAATACAGTACTAAAACCAAAAATGGCTGACGCTTAGATGCACAGTCATGAAAAGAAATCATACGTGAAGGGGTTAAGGCCTGTTCGTTACCTGGGCGTCCATTCCTCGCCTTTTTTGTGCTTTCGAGCTTTACGCGTGTCTCGTTGCTTCTCTTCGAGCCTCGATTTCTCAAACGCAGCCCCGTCTTTATCTCCTTTCTCCAGTTTCCTAATATCCGGCCTTAATCTCGAGTCAGTCCGGCACAGAACTCTCTCCATTTCCGGTGTCAGTTCGTTTAACGACATTGCAAACGTTGTGAAGTGATAATTCTGAAAGTCGATGTTAGGAATGTTAAATATTAACGAGTTCACTTTCGAACCAAGTGTAATACTGGCATTTTTATTTACGTCTGGACTGTTAGCCGGCCTCGGGACAACTTCCCAGAGTGTTGTCGATCCAGGAATGTAGTCGACCGTTGGACTGTCTTCTCCGTCTATACTTGCAGATGGATCTTCAATTGCATCCTTAAAAAATTGGAAAAAATTTGTTTACAAATTTTCAATATTGCATTTGGTACACGTTGTTGCTTAGATTTTTGAAAATGAAGTCTCAAGTACACAGGGTGTTTCATCAAGTAGAAATTATGCAAATTGGTAGAATTCACTGAAAGAAACGAAGAAGTCTTAGAATAGGAAGTTTTTGAATTTTAAACAATTGAAGTAAGTAAGTATGGAATACTTTGTTTACACTTGTTTAGTATATTCACGTGCCATTGTAAAAATTGAGAGGTACACCGTAAACACTTCATCGAAGAAACGTGCAAAAGCGTGCATTTAAACGAGCGATCATCACTTAAAAAATGTGTAATTGGATAAAACTTGTACGAATTCTTTGCAAAATTATTAGATCCTAAACGATAGTTCACTTTATATTCACCTGTCTCTGCGATTACAGGTGCGAATAAAACTTTATAAAAAGTACGGCGTAAAGAAAACTTTCATATTTTTCTCTAACTTCGTCTCTCAATAAAAAAAAAAAAACAATATCAGCTGGTGTAGAGAATTATCGCAGCAATTTTCAACAAGTCTATCTAATAATTCCAATAACACTTCGCAGCTCTCCCAAAAGAGAAATCAATTATTAAAGCATCTGTGAAGTTCTCTCTAAAAGAATCAGAGTGAAAACCACTCTACTTTTCACACATTGCCTCTTCGAACAACAAAGTAATTTCAATTAACAGTTTAAAATACCTGATGAGAGGGTTTAAAAGCCCCGACCTTGAGGCTGTGCAGCTTCGCGAGGACCTTCTTATGTCCTGGACTCCCCTGAGGACTCTTCGCCTCGCGTTTCACTGTCTCCAGCGCCTCCTCGTACATCGAAGGCTCGCAGACGTTCATTTTCTCCGTCCATTTTCCGTAAAGAAACAGGAGTCTCCTCTTTCTGAACCGAGAAACACGCGTTTTACCGCGTCTTTCGTCGACCGAGATACAACCAGACTCGAACGAATCGTGTATATGTACGTATTTCTCTATACGCAGGATTCGAGCCGTGGTTGAACGACTAGTAACTTAAATTTTTCGAATTGAAAAGTGATGGTAAACTGTTACCAGCTTACTCTTGATCCGTTATGAAGCCTTCGACGCGATGGAGATCCTTCCCGTTGCAGCTGGAGCTCTTGAATGTGAGGCTCGCTTTTAAATTCGCTACGCCACACTGTTTGATCTCTAGAGAGCCTTGTTGCTCCATCCATAATTGGCCCACTAACACGTTGTGCAGTATACAGTTCACATTCTGCCAAGTGTACGCTTCTCTCCATCTACGAGCACGGTTTCAAATATTTATCAAGTGTTTTGTTCTTTGTTTCCTTCTTTTTCTGCAATTTCTTTTCTTAGGCTCGAGCAGTTGCTTCAGTTTTCGAAGGAAAAATGCAGCGTAAGCTGTACTCACCTGGGAAGTTCTACGGTGACGGTGCCTTTCGGTTGTATCTCTATCGATTTGCCCCAGAATTTCAATTTCGGGTGTATGCTACCGTGGAACACGAAGTCCTCGCAGTCCGCGTGAAACGCTGACACAGGCGGATGATGCGACACTTGCTCGCAGACTATTCTGGAATAATAATCTTAACGTGATTTGTTAGGAAGTTGTTTTCTTTTCTACTGCTTCTTGTTCGTTTAATTTTAGAGGAACTTTAGTCTTTTGAAAGTTTTCCATATTTTCGATTTTTTCTAAAAGTTTCTGAAAGTCTTTCCGAAAGTTTGTTTTTATTGTTAGGTTAAAGGACTGGGGAACGAACTGATTAGCTGGTTCAACGCTTTTTTTTACGGTTATACCGTGCACACGTACGTTCGAATTAACCCTAAAATACATTTGCTTACTTCAGTATAGCAACACATAGGTTAAGTTAGGTAACATTGAAATAGTTGCTAAAATTTGTTAGGAAAATAAACAGGAAACTTAATGACATTACTCCCTTCAAATTATCGAGCAAAATAAATAAAGTATCAAGAAAATTATCTTCGTTGATTGTATTGGTATCTTTACATTGAAATTCTTCAAATAATCCATCAACCCTCCGCGAACCATGTGGGGTTAAATGAACCCCAGCTGTTCTAAAACTAAATAAATCTTTGCTTTATTCAGATCCCTCCATATTACAAAAACGAAGAAACACCATTTTTAATGTTTAGGGTAAACTAACCTCACACGGTTCAAGGCGTGACTTTTACTCGCCCCGATTCGCGGAGTGTTAAATAAAGAATTCGTCATATTTATGTCAACAAAAATAACGACACACGCAATTGTATTAAAAATCATCGATTAAAACTGAAACTTTGTTCGTAGATTGCACGTTCAGTTACTTACCGGAAGTCCTCGCGCTCCAGCTCATACGTCTCGCCCAATATTGGATTGAAAGGTTTGCCAAGCCTCTGCCAATTCGAAGCCAAAGCGCTCACAGCGAAAGCGGCAACGTACTGCAATACGAGAATTCACATGGAGTAAACGACTCTGCTTTAATCGAAAATTCCCGCTTACCTGTAGCCTTCCAACAGGAGTTTCCTCGTTGGCTGCTAATTTCAGCAATTTAGCGTACTCCATGTACTCGGCGACACGCTGAAGGAAAGAAAGCGGTTCGTTGAAGATGACCGGCATGGCGATCTTGCTGAGATCTTTGCCCAGTGATAACACTGAACACAGATTCACCTCGGAATGACCCGGAACTGGTAATGTTGTTCTTGAAACAGAATAATCCCTTGCTATTGCTGTTCTCTCACCCTCCCTCCCCCCCAAAAAAACAGGAATTCAAATCAAGAGTAAAACGAGTGAAACAACGTTAGCTTATCATCTTTTCGTCCATCTAAAGGCCGTAGAATCAGGTGTGATTATTGATATCGTGGCAATAAAACAGCAGCAAAACGTGATCGATCGTCCTACAAACGAATTGTTTTGGTAACAATACTGAATCAAAATCAATAAATCAGCCACACGGTCATCGCTGTTACATCATTCCAACTGTTAAACGAGAAACTCGTACCGTTTACCATCGACAAAATTGCTACAGCAAACTTCTACAAAACTTCGTTGCAGTCGGGTGAAATAAAAAGAGAGGAACGGTACCAAGAAAGTAGGAAAAATTGTGAAAAAAAAGGATCGTGATAGTTTCCCCACGCGTTTGCTTTTCTCGAGTAACAATCAACTTGATCGGAGATCATCACAGAGAGAAGGGAGTGACCGAGTAGGGTGTCGAGCAGGTGGTCTCTTGAGACGTTTCGACGATAGACGCACACGTCCTTATTTTCCACGATCAAGAGTATCACTGGAGGATAACGACGAAAGTAACACACACCTGTACGGTCTTTGTATCTTTTGGTTGGCCATTATAAACGAGCCGATTGTGACTATCGAAGGTGGCCGATCTGAGTTGAATGCGCTACTTCGAAACGGCCCTCTACGACGAGAAAGCGCCGCTTATTCGCGTCTCTCGATAACCAGGATCAAACGTCGGGGTTCCACATCGTCTAGCTTCCCTCTCTTCTGGTCGATCCTTCTGCAAACTTGTACATGCCACAGCTACGAGAACGGCGATACCTTGGGGTGAGAGAACTGACTGAGGATCAAAGGATACCAAAAGGTGGCGAAGGGAGGAGGAGGAGGAGGGGGGGAAGGAAGGAAGGAAGGAAGAAAAGTCTTCGCGTTCTCCAAAAAATTGGTGCACCACCCCGGATCTTCTCTATCACCGTAACATCGCGAACAAAGATTTACCGCGACGAGGAAGATACGCGATTAATCCAAGCCACGCGAGGTCAGGTGTAAATCGGATAAGGCGGAATGTGAGAATGCACCGCGATGACACAGCGTCGACGACGATCTCGTTTACGTCGGGATTCTCGTCGGGAAACTGCACGTTGGGCGTGAGGGCGTTGCGATGATTTCAGAGCGCACCACCCTCTCTTTCCTCTTTCCGTTCTCCACGCACCCTCTCTGCTTCCGCGGCCCCGTTGCTAACGCAACCGCCTGACTCGCGGCACGTCGGAAGGAATCAATAAGTCGGGTGTCTTGTGACCGTTGAAACGACCACGAGCGGCATCTGTGGATTGTCGGTGGGATAGCTGGCACGGGCGAGGGAGATTCGCAGTGAAATTTGAATTCTGCCGGGATAATTACACCTGCGGATGTTGAATGAATTTTAGAATAATTTCGGTTAATTGCCCTGTTTTCGGAAATCGTGTATGAAAGATACGGCGTTCTTGTCAAGTAATCCGGGGATTTCGCTGATTAATTCTTAATTAATCACACCTGCGCTCGTCGAATAAATTTTCTTTCTTTCTTTTGCACGGGAGAAGTCTCGCATAGAGATTTCCAAACGCAAGGCCATGATTCTTTTTTATAAAAAAGATAAGAAAGCTGTTAAATTGAAACAGTAGTCAGCGGTGGTTTCACTTTTATTGCTAGCTGGATCTCTTGGTTTCCCTCCAGTTTTCGAAGCAAAGTTAGAACCTGTATAGAAATATTTTCATTTGGAAAACCGTAACTTAAAATAACGCAAATATGAGGAGAACGTAAATATAAACTACCTTTTCTCAATTCTTTGCGATGTAAGAAGCTGGCTGGAGTTAACCCGCACGTCATGTTCAGATATTTGAGGTGGTACTCTGAATTGAGTTTATAAAAAGTTTTTTTAGGGTTGTATAGTTTATTCACAGTGAATATGTGAATACGAGAAAGGTGAAAAGATACATTCGCCACGTGTACGCGCAACGAGCGCGCACGCATTCGGTCAGAACGGAACCACGAGGCGAAGACGAGGCGGCAAACGGAAAATCGTTACTCGCCCTACAGGTTGTAGGCCAGTGATGGCGAATCTACGACACGCGTGTCAAAGGTGACACGCATCGACTTAAGTCACCTCACAGCCGAAACCGAGCAGGTCACAAATAATCATCGCACAAACGACAACGAAAAACAACGGTGTCTATCTTCTATCGACGAGGTTCAGAATCGTTTATTCGGAGCTGAAGCATAGCGAGTCCGTGATCGTACAAGGTCGTAAAGCTCGTAGCAATTATGGATATTTCTAGATGTGACACGGCACCCGAGTTAACCCTAGAGCGGTCTTCGGGTCTTTTTTGACCCACCGCCTTTTTATATTTTTAACATTATTTTAAGCGTTTATTGTCTAGGTTCATATGTCGCTTTGGAAACAAAAATTGTTTCACATAGGGTCTTAGGTCCTTCTTGACCCAAAAGTCTTAAGTGTACGGTCAAAACGAAGAACGCAGCAGGATTAAGCTAGGTTTTCTCCCAATTTTGACGCACCCGGCTCAAAAGGTTCGTCGTCACTGTTGTAGGCACGAGCAGCACGAATCGCACGTTTCCTCAACAGAAAACCAAACGTTCGTTTGAAAGTAGAAACAGTTCAATATTAGTAATTTATATCGGTTCCAAGTACTAATTTACCTTGCTCAAAATTCGCCACTGTTACAAGGATACGTTTCAAAATGAACACTCTTGGATCAGTTTAAAATGAAAGACCGCTATAGTCACAGAAACGACGAGTATTAATAATACGAATAAATAAACTAGTACGATACGCAGCCAAATCACGCGTTTTTTATTTTAAAAAAATCGAAGTGGCCGGAGTTACCCCTTTTTCACCTGTGTAAGAGGGTACCGCGCTACCTCACACGTGGGAGCGATGATTCTGGCGGGGCTAATTCCGTTTGACAGTCGCGCTTTTAGGCGACAGGAAGGCCCGGAGTTGAATCGAAGACGGATCGTTGAATTGTACGAATGGTATTGCGATATTTACACAGATCAATTTATATGGAAATGCATGGAAGTAAGAACGAACCGAATTCTCTATTGATTCACCTGGAAACCAAATCGATATCCGTACGAGGCACAGGGGTTCACTTCAAGTCACTGTTGAAAACTTCTTCAGTTCAAGTGTTCCATCCGCTGTGATCGCCACGTTATTACTTCGGCATTCGAAATTCGAAGTCTACCCGTCGTAAATAAGTTCTTATCCGCGACAGTTGAACGCAGTCAGTGAAATTTCGAAAGATGAAATATTTGGAAGGCTAAAAAATTTCTGAATCGTGAAACTTCGTTAATTTCTTGCTACCATAAACCAGTTCGTTGAATGAAAATTGTTAATAAGTAGATAAATACGTTATAAAAAAAGAAGAAAATTTGTGTGTGTTCGTAGTTATTATAAGCAGCGATGGCTAACGAAATTCAGCAAAAGGAAGGTACGGAAACGAAGGATGAGATGAAAGAAGACGGGGCGGATCGGAGAACCCTGGCAACGGAGACTGAAACGATGGAGGAAGTCGCTAGCGAAACGAAATCTCATGGAAGAAAATATCTCACGAAACACATGAAATTGTATCCGGAATTGTACAGGAGCGATGTTTCCATTCATCCTAGTTACACGACACTTAAGAATCTACCTTAGTAAGAATAATTTCTATTCACAAAAATATGCGAATCTTTACTTCTATCATACAATCTCGTTCCAAATTTCATAATAATCTACTGACAATTCTTTCGTTTCCTTCGTAATTCTCAAAATTGATTAAATTCACGGTGAAATGTAACATTCAACGCAAACGATATTTATAATGTATTAGGTGTACAAATGAATAATCCAAATTTTTTTATAGCAGTTAAAAAACTGGGTCTAAAATCAGTTGATACAATTGTTGTAAATGATCAGCTTGACGTAAAGCGAAACATAGCTTCAATTCAATAGAGTCCACAACATGGCGACAGATGAGGTGCGTATCCTCTACGAATTCCAAGGCAAAAATGCTAAAAAAGCTTGTGAATAGATTTGTTCTACTCTTGGCGAAGGTGTAGTATCACACGATGTGTGTGCATTTTGGTATAAACGGTTTAAAACCGCTGATTTAGCCCTCGGAAGTGCGACAACGATGATTTCGAGCAATTGCTCGCTGAGAATTCGGCGAGAAGACAGAAAGAGTTTGCAGAACAGTTGGGAGTAACGCAGCAAACCATTTAGA